AGTATTCATATTATTAAAGAGATTTGACTGTACATATATCCAGCAATTCTGGTGATGTACTATTGTACTCACCTACAACCATCTGGAAAAACCTGCCCATGTGGTCAAGCTCTCTCCGGACATCAGTGTTAAGTAAGGTATGGTAACCCTCACGTCCACCCCAGAAAACTGCAAACAAGATAATTATGATGGAGCATTATTACATCATTTTCATGTGAAGATCAGTTCGACGATCATTCAGTCACTGAATACAGCTTATTAAAATGACTCTCACTCCAGCAACCAATGACAGTTTTACACAATCATTCTCTTTTTGTTATTACCTTCTAGTTGGTATATTGTTCAGGATTTTCACATTTGAAAAGTGAATTTATTTATTTAATAGCTTATTACTAATACTAATTTTTCCAAAAATTGATCAGTGATGGGTTGCAACTGTGATCAACAATGAAAGCATTTCAACTATTCCATAAACCAGAAGTTCATATGGGCATACAAAGTGTCGAGGATAACTTATTAATTAATTTCACTGTCAGACATCATTTGTTGTTCCTACCAAAATTTTCTGCTCCTAGTTTTTTGGCAATCTCCAACCCTTTCTTGACTTGAGCAGCGGCATGAGCAAATGCATGGGCATCAGGGTTAGAAGCTGCTCCATTCATGTACCTGTTAAAAACAGCACTCTGCTAATTACATTAAAATGCACATTGATTGTCAGAGTGAAATATATAAATTACCATATGATAATACCTTGGATTGGCAAAAAGGTTGCATGTTGCCCAAAGTAACTTGACGCCAGTCTTCTCTTGCAGCTCAAGAGCAAGATCAGTGAGCTGATCTAGATTAGCATTTGTCTCTTCCAAGTTTTCTCCTTCAGGGGCGATGTCCCTAAATGCAAAAATAACTTTGAAAAACTTTTCCAAGTCTCAATAAAAAGGTTCCTATACAGTCATCATTTTCTTTGACAACTACCTACTCAACTCTTAACCAGTTTCTCAAACAATTTGCTGCTATACACATGGCTACATGGTGCTGCAAGTTATCCCTAAGAAAACAGTACATTTGTCACAAAGACTCCTGGTCCCCTTCTGCCAAGCTAGAACCCAGACAACATATTGAACCAAAGTCCCACCCAAAAATCATTAGGCCCAGGTTACTACCATATGAAAATGTTGGGATGCTCGTTGTCTCGCTTAGGGTATAAATAAAGGATTCTGGTCTCAGTTAGGGTGTTTTAAGGTACACTTAAAGAAATTGTAATTAACACAAAAAACGCTCTCATTTCTGTTCTTAGGCTCGATTTCTGCCAGTGTTTCGAGTCTGGGCTAGTCTATTAGCATGAACTCCTTGCCTGAACATTAATTGCTGAACATCAGCTGGTAATTGAGCCTATTCTATTTTAAGTGGTATCTTTTAGGGGTCAAATAAAGCTCAAGTCACACCTAGATTGATCTCCTTTACAGGTTTGATTCAAATTTTCCAACGAGCATCCCTGACTTTTTCATATGGGAGACCCCCTGAGTCATTAGGCAACTACACCTTCCACCACCACAATTCAATTCCCACAGTTGTCCCACCTGTATTATAGTGTATGTTACCTGTCATGGAATGTATAATATTTCACACCAAGTTTCTCAAAAAATTCAAATGCTGCTTGAAGTCTTCGTTTTGCATTTTCTAAGCTGTTGCTTCCATCATCCCAGTGTCTTGAAATTGTAGGAAAACCAAATGGGTCAGCACCTAATATCAAACCAAATCAGTAACAAAACAAATTTATAAGTAGTTGTCCACAAAAGTGTTTTCAGCTGTTAATGTGAAGTACTCCTAATTGCAGCTGGTTGGGAACAGTAAGTCAGGTTTTACTGTTCTCAGGAACCAGATACTTCAGAAGATATTCCACCAAGCTTCAATTAGACTATGCAGTTAAATACATTTAAGACACAAAAGCAGAATGGCAAACCTGTGCCCCTGAATGTGTGCCAGAAACAGACTGAGAATCGACACCAGTCTTCCATTGTTTTTCCCATAACCACCTGTTGATTATAACGATATCAAAATTGCATTAACATAAAACTGGCCAGAATTACTATAGCTATCAATGAAAATTTCCCAGGGATACTACTATCTCTTGCTTTTGCTACCTTTGCAAGATCAGCATATCATGATTCTAAAGTTCTTCGCATTGGGAGGTCTTCAGCATGCAGATGAGACATGTGATGTCTATTATCGTAAGACAGTGAACAACCAGTTCCATTCGCTATAAGAAGTTAGCTACGATTTCTATATAACAATAAAGTCACTCTATCCGAAATTATAGTAATTTAAATTTCACTGTTACGGTGTCCTCTATCAATCCTTTTGAGTTCAAAGCCGATAAACAATAAGCCACGCACAGCGCCGCGCATAGCGCCGCGCATTCGCTTGAGTGGGTCCGTGATATATGTAAGTTATCTTCAAAATTATCATTACCTCTTGAGGATTGTAGTGTTTGAAGCAGAGATTATCTCCGGGCCCTGCATCAGGCTTGTATTCAATCTTGCTTATTCCTAGAAGAATGCAAGCAAACATCCAAACTTCAGTCAAATGACACACCCTGTGTAACAAAGCTGCAGTCTCGCAGAACGCACGGGCCCAGATGACAACTTTATATGGACCGCTCAGAAACAAATACTCGATCTGCACGCATTACCTGGAAAAAATTCTCCATCGCTGTCAACTGGCGTGCCGTTGCTGCGCGATCGTCTGGCTTTCTTACTCGGTGGTGCAAAAGACGACATGATTTTGAAATGGGAGACTATAATCCTCGTATAATTGTTCAGAAAACAAAACTTTGGCAGAGATCGTATGATTTTGCAAATTGTGTCAGACATGCGAGGCTTGGTGGGGAGACTGGAATCAGCCTGAGTCCGCAGACTTTCAGCGGCTTCTTCGTTAGATTCAAAATGGAGGACGATTCTCCGGTTATTTATGGCTTAGAGTTAAATGTAAGTAGTCAATTTATTGGTTTACTTTTTGTGTTACAAACAAGTTTTGTTAATAATTTTAAGGGACCCTGCTCTGTATAAAATTTGATTAACGCAGGGATTGTAAAGAATTGTTTGAAATGAAGAGATTTCAGATGTCAGCGGGGTCTGATCTTGATGGATTTTCGGTGTATGACATTTGCAGACTGCAGACTGCAGACTACATTTGGGCCAAAACAGCGTTCTGGTTAGCCTGAATATCACTCAGGTTAGCCTGAATAGCGGTTAGCTCTCGGAAATGGGAATACTCGAGAATACGATGACACGAGTTGAGAAGTTTGCATTCTGCGGTCTGCAGTCTGCAGTCTGTAAATGTCATACACCGATGGATTTTCTAACTTGGTGCATGATGTGTGGATGTCAGTGTCTGCCAAAGAAATCTGGGAAGTGAGGAACAGGAACATAATCAATATAAAACTAACCAAAGAACACAAAAAGCTCCATTCGGCACAAAGAGAGATTTATTTGGAGGAATACATGTAGGTACAAGTCAAATGAAACTAACAACTGAAAACAATTTCATAGTACTTTAAAATAACCCACTCCACCCACCAAACCCAACCCTCCCCCACCCCCAAAAAAGAGCAAAAGAAACAAGACTGGAGACTAACTAGACATGAGAGCGGCAGTCATACGAGAGGCCAGATGTGGCTTCCTTTTTCAGATCATTCAGTCTTGATTTTCTTATTATGTGCACTGCACTGTTTGTTCTAGTTTCTTCCCTTCCCTCCCACCCTTGCAGTGGTGATCTTTCCCAGATCAAGATTGTCAGTAGGAAGGCTTGGGCTGAAAATATCTTCTTTTCAAATCCACTAAGACATGTTGTACAGCAAGGTGATAATGCTGATAATTGCATGTCCATGCATGATGTTCTATTAAATTATTATAATGATGACAGGAAAAGAAGAATAAACCTTACCCATTGTGTTCACCTACTTAGATGTTTGTTTTTTCAGGCTCGAGCTCTGGTCCCTCAACATGCAGAGACAGATGTGATCAGATTTATTGTTGGTACTCAGTCACTTAAATTTGAAAACCAGGTGAGTTCAATCTTGATGTGTCATATTCTAAACTGCATCGTAATTTTGTGTTCATTGAAAAATTTACAAGTACTTATCTATTCCAAATTGCACGAGAATGATCATGTGATTACTTGCCAACAAAGCCCTTGAAAATAGATTACACATTAAAATTGATTTATTGGAAAAAAAAAAACTGTGAATCGTTCATGTCAACTATGCATGTTTAAGTAAAAAAGTTTTAAAAAATGGAGATCAGTGTTGGGAAAATGAAAATCTGAATTTTGCAAATTTCAGGTCCATCTGATAGACTTTGATGATGAAAGCAATGTTATAAATAAAAATGTGTTTATGCATTCTGCTGGAGAAATATGGTGAGTGCTCTTAAATATAAACTGACAAGCAGCACATCTTCACAAACCTGTAATTTACAAAAATGTTCACCACATCACACTTGTGCCATTTTAGGAGCAAAATAATTACCCAACACTTGTGAGTACAAGAGTATTGTAATGAGGCAAAATACCTGAGCAAGGTGTGATATAGCTGAGGAAGGCATGATCTCTTCATTATTTGGGTACCAAAATAACTCACAAGTTTTGTTTTAGTTTACTTATTCATGGCTTCATTGATGTTGTCTTTCTACCATCCCAAACCTAATATACAACAAACATTATTATATGGCTAGCTCCGTGAGTGGGCAAGATGAATCAAATCCTGCACTGTGATTGGCTACCCGAGCGGGCAAGATGGAGCTATCTTGCCCGCTCGGGACTACCCACTGTGTCCCGCAAGAAAAATTTCCGCGAAAGCCATATAATAAATCCTTTATTGACCATGCTTGTTCGGTCAAGATGGCTGAATATTGGCCTCGTTCTTTTTTTGCGAGTCTGTGGACCGAGACGGAGTCGAGGTCCATAAACACGCAAAAAAAGAGCGTGGCAAATATCCAGCCATCTTGACCGAACAAGCTTGGTCAATAACCCATACATCCTCAAAGTGCAGAGAAATGCAGTATACAGATTTTTGCATCTACTGTGTCTTAAATGTTTTAGGTCCATGAACACAAGTCCAACTGACAAAACTATATTGGCAACATGTTACAACAATGGTGAGATTCCATCTTTTTCCTTTTAAGCCAAAAATAACTAAATGGTGACACACACACAGTACAAGGAACCAATTCTCTGAACTGAACTTCTTATCTTGTGCTGTTTCAAATGCCCTCAAGTCTGACTGCCTAGTTATAGTGATCTGTGCTGCAGTTGCCTTAGTCTCACTCTGAGCCTGTGAACGGAGGTGTATTTCCGGCTGTCGAGACAAGTGACAGCTGGAAATGCGTCTGTGTTTGCAGGCTAAATTCTCCTCTGAAGGTCAACACATTACCAAGCAGTCAGTTATGGAGAATTAAGAAGTTCATCAATTAGGAGATATTTTCTTGATGTTCCACCCAGTTTTCACAACTCATATAATTTTTGATATTAGTTTTACCAGTCAGTTTTGAACTAAAAAACTAAGTCTAAGAATCAAACATTTGAGCCTAAGTGAATCTCTCCTAATAAAATCTGTTTGACTCAATGATGCAGTGTCTGAGTCGAAGGCTGAGATACAAGGAGCTCTGTGGAGAATTCCACCGGTGGATGACACTGAGCCCCCTTTAGACTCTCCTGGAATTTCCCCTGGAAGTGGACATTCCCGATCATTACAGCTTATCTGTTACTTTGATAACAAGCACGAGAATGTAAGAAGGTTGGTGTACGTATATGTACATTGTAAACATTTTAGTCTCTGGTTAGCCTTGCAGTAGTTAACAGAGACTATATTTTATTAGTAAAAATGTCTAAAAATGCATAAATTTGTGCCAGTTGATTAGCTACCACAGAGGAAGGGAATGCTTTGATTTTGTCTTGCCTAGCTTAGTGCAGAGACACCAAAACAGTTTTCATTCAGAATTTTTACATAAAGCCATAATAGGTGATTTTGAATTCTTACAGTGTGTTATGGAATCCATCTGGTGATGGAAGTCAAGTTGTGTCTGTTTGCGAACAGCATCTTGAGTTGTGGGATCTTGACAGAAGTGCTTCAACTGCAGAGGTGTGTTTGTATTGAATATGATATTCATGTGACTGTGCCGCACAAGAGAAGAGGATGCTTAAAACAAGACAGGGGAAGTGCCAACAAAGCTCTGGAAAATGTTATGCATACAATGGAAATATAGAGTCCCAAATGAGATTCTTGGGAGAAAATCTCCTGACTTCACAAATTCTCCAGAGAGAAGTTGACTTGAGTTATCATAAAATATGTACTGTGCTTTTGCTTGACCCAGAGGTGCCCAAATAGTGGTCTTCTTGGCTTCGATTTGCAGCTGTTATTAGGATTGTCACATAATGCTTCTCCCTAGTAGGGAGAAGCATTGTGTGATGACCCTAATAACGGCTTTGAAGGAGACTACCTAAAGAGGGATTCTGTAGTGATAATGGACATAATTCCAAAAATGGTAGGATTCAAGGTGGCTCTTTCTTACTCCATTAACAGGAAAAATTGATATACATTTTTGCCCTTTGGACTTTGTATTGTCCCCTGTATCTGCTCCCCCCACCCTCCCTCCTGTATATCAGAGAGTGTCTGTGAATACTTTTTCTTATTACACAGTCCATCGACTCAGCTCGTCTAGAGGGTAAAGGTCAACCCAAGTTCACCACAGGTCGGTGGAACCCTCATCACAGCGGTTCCCAGATTGCAACAGCAAATGATGCGACCATCAGAGGGTGGGATGTCAGGACAATGAGGTTAGCATTTGTAGGGATCTGCTAGCAGCTCTCGTAAGGTCTCACATGAATGGTTGATACCCTTTGAGAGGGCAATAGAACAAACAACAGAAAAAATGCCCCAAGCTCCACGACAATAGCAGCTGCTAACAATGGGTCAACTGTGAAAAGCATTACAAGCTTATGAGAGCTGCTGCACCTGTGATTTTCAGGACCTTAACAGACATCACCTGGACTGTAGTTCGTTGTCTCTTCATTCAGTGTAAACTCTGGCTCATAGTCTGATTGTTATTTAATATTGAATACTTCTGTTATCTCTTAGGCCTGTCTACACAATAGAGAACGCTCATAGCCAACTGGTTCGTGACCTAGACTTTAATCCGAACAAGCAGTATGTGCTGGTCAGCTGTGGGGATGACTGTAAAATGAGGTTCTGGGACACAAGGAACACCACAGATCCCCTGATGGTGCTGCAAGATCACTCACACTGGTAAACATTTCTCACCTTGTCTGCTTATATGCAACTCCATTTTCGACGTGCTCTTCCATCTATCCACTGTTAAAACGTTGTTTGCAAGTAGCACAAAGAGGAGAGATCCTAATCGCAAAAAATACACAGATTGCCACACTGATCTTGTGGGGTTTTTGAACTACATATTGACGAGTGAGGTTTGGGTTTGACTCTTTTTAGAGGGCGTTAGCCTGGGGGCGTGACTTAGCATTGGGAGAGGGCTTGGGGAGAGGTACTGTGAGAGTAAAGTGTCTTGCCCGTCTCGCATGTTCACCATCAGAGCATTACATGTGTAACATACATCGACGAATAAGCAAAGT